TAGTGTAAATTTTGTATGATTGTCGTTATATACGCGACAATAAAATAAAACTTGCAATAATATAAACTTTGCACACGTTCTTTTCTCCTCGAGAAGCGCTCATTTGACGGTACCGCTGGCATAGAAACGGAACGATCGGATTCATGTTCCTGTATGGAAAATGGATTATTGTCCAAGACCAAGGTCCAATTCGAACAAATTTTTCAGATCGGACCACTATAACATATAGCTGTCATACAAACGGAACGGTCAGTATCAACTTATTATATAAAAAACTTGGCTATTTGATAAGATATATGTATTATCGAAATTTGACAGGGATTCTTGTGCAAAACAAAGATCCGTCCTCCGGACAATTTTTTAAGATCAATTATAATTTTGCTGTCATACAAATAAATACAACAATCAAAATCTAGTACTTGCATTGAAAACAGTTTTATTTGTGAAGGATATTATAGAAACCGAGAAGCTGAAGTTAACTTTTTTTCTTGCTACTATACACTTGACACATTGAAGCCAATTATTGAGTTATCATTTGATCATAAATTCACATTAATCATTTAATTAATTGTCAAATTATCACGTCAAAATAGATAAAAGTTGCTTATGTAACAATTTGGAAACATTCTAAAGCCACGTAAAAAGTTTTGAAAAAACATAACAACTACAACACACAAAAATTCAAAAGTAAAACACACGAATGTCGCGTAAAATATTGCACAATATACATAAGTATTGGAAAAAATAATGACGCGTGTTGCATTTGAAATAAATGAAATGACAATGTCATGGCGACCTTCGCACGCAAACAAATGCATACACACAGCAATAAAGGCGATGAGACGAAAAGCAAAACAAAAAAAAAAAAAAAAATCATGGCGACCTTCGCACGCAAACAAATGCATACACACAGCAATAAAGGCGATGAGACGAAAAGCAAAACAAAAAAAAAAAAAAAAATTAAAAATGCGAAAATTAACGTGAATGCAATAAAACGTGTTTGAAAAAGGTTAGACAAAACAAATTTTCCATGATATGCTAAGAGTAATGCATAAATATTTGCACTTTAAATGCGATTAACAATTCTCACAGTGTAAGCTTAGTGAAATGTCCGTATGTCAGCTTCGAATAGACAGGAGTTTATAAATAAGTAAGAAACGTGGAAATTTTGCAGTTATAAATCTGTATGTGTGGGACTACACAGAAAACAATGTCTGTGCGCCTTGGCGTATGAGTGATTTAACTGCGGTAATTGCGTACTTAAGTACCGTAGTACTTATTATAGCAATTGAAAGTTTGATTTGCTACACTTTAGCAACTTTTACGAGCGTATAAGTTTGGCTCTGTAAGTATTTATCTAAATATGTAAGTTTGGATGTACGCATTTGCCCAGGTAGGATGTAAGTATGTTACTTTGGATGTAGGCATACATATATGTATGTAAGTTCGATTATTAGCATGTAATTATATATACTTAAGTATATTGAATTTGTCACAATGTTTGCCACACTCAAAAAGGCAAGGTTGAAGACCCTATAAAGTATATACATGTATGTATGTATGTATATGTGATCAGTGTGACGAGCTGAGCCGGTTTCACCAGGTCAGTCTGTCTTCGGTATATACTTCGAACTAGTCTCTTAGTTTTAGAGATATCGACTTGAAATATTGCACAAYTACTTTTCTCAGCAAGAAGCTGCTTATTTGTCGAAATCGTTATTATCTGCTAGTCATAGCATATAGCGGCCATACAAACTGACCGATCAAACTCAAGTCCTTGTATGGAAAACTTTTTTATTCGGCAAGGTATCTGCAAGAAATTTAGCACAAATTGTTATCCAGGACAGCGCTACAATCTCCAAAGAAATTGTGCAGATCGGATAACTATAGCATATAGCTGTCATACAAAATGACCGTTCAAAATCACGATAAATATCAGTTAAATCTTTTTATGCTATAAAAATGCATCTGTGAAGGGTATTATGTATTTTCACATATTTTTTCATTTAAGTATGCATGACTTTTATAATTTTGCTCATTCTGCGCATTTCTAGCGATTACACAATGCCAATCTGTCTACCATTGATAACTCTTGCTCTTGATTTGAAAATATTTTACAYWTGTTATAATTACACACATATACATRTATATATGTACATAAATCCCTACATACGTTAATTGTAACCACAGACAACCATTGCGGGTATTGAGCAAATTTTTCAAAGGCAAAAAATTTGTTAAATCATCCGTCGAGTAGCGAGCTTGTGAGTGAAATTTCAGTTTTTCAGCGTGTAATTAATTAATCGTGCGTGTGTGTGCATAAACTTTAATATTTTACACACTGTTGCTTATTTTTTCAGCATATTCATACATACTTATACATACATATGTATTTGATATCTGTACATACATATGTATACAAGTAGTAGATATGTACATACATATGTCTGAACAATTGTGCGACCACTTCTGTTTTAACTGATTTATGCCTTATGTGGCATTAAGCCAACAACAATAGCAACAACTACTAGCCCTACCAAAGAAGTGTAGACGACGCCGACCTTCGCACGAGCTTAAGTTTAGAGAACAGAAGAGAAAACCAAACGTGTATAAAATCAAATAAAACAAGACAGGAAATTGCTTGGCACAAGCAAAATGTGAAATACAATATGCGAGTACAAATGGTTCACACACACACATATACGTATGTATATACATAAGTWGACAGCGTGTGTACGTAGTAAGCGCTCAGTTTCAATTTGTGGGAGCGATTGGTGGTGTGAGCTTTGTGTTGTATTGTTTAAATTAGCCAATCCATCTATACAACCAATTTAATTTAATTAAATGCATGATTGGGATTTTTTTTTGTTTCAATAGCAAAACAAATTAAGAAAAATAACGTGATGGACAATAAAATAGTTTGCAATGGAATACTAACATATTATATTCGAAAATTGTAAAATAACAAAAAACAAATAAATAAAAATTTATTTGATGAAAGGAAATCGAAGTAAATGAAAAAAATTATTACAAGGTTTTTGTAATTATTTAAGTTTTTACTTCTGGAATTCGTAATTGTGTTTTTTTTTTATTATTTTTGTTGTTATTATTGCTTGTTTTTATTGAATATCATATATGTACATATTATTCACCGAGGTAAGGCGTCGTTTCGTAACCGTCGACGAAATTCATCGATAATGCTKGAACCACGGGTACACGCCAGAATTTAAGGAACAGTCGAAAAAGTGAACGTTACCTAATTAGCCTGCTCTTATCGGAGGGAAAGATGCCGACTATTGCTTTCTGGGATTCACAAGCCGTGAGCTAAATCGACTAACTRTAGAAGGAAAAACGGTCCTATGCCGAATGAAAAGTTTTTCTTTTCTTAAGGAGCCGATTCGACGACGAATGGAGGAAAAACTGCTCACATTTGGCGATGAAAAATTTGTTTAYTTCTTTAAAAGGCCGAATCGGCGAGTCGAAAAAAATTATCCCATTTGACGATGAAAAAAGTTCTCATCGACATGACATGTTATGTTATGTTTGTAACAATAAAAAATCRTAATWAAATATTTAATTTTTTATATGAAAAWATTAMGTTGAAAAAAGACTTTTTTTTACCCGAGCAAACCCATGTAACCCCTTAATTGTCAGGACCGACGATATCATACAAAAACCAATCGAACTAAAGTCGTTGTATGAAGGTATATTTACGAAATTTTGCATAGATTATTATYTMAAACATTGCTAMAATTTTCAAAAAWATGKTTCAGATCGGAYTACTATAGCATATARCTRCCATACAAACTAAYCGAACAAAATCAAGATAAYGATCTTTGTATACCCTTCTTTGCTATGAAAAAAAAATGCCCCTGTGAAGGGTATTACGGCTCCGTTGTAATCGMAGTTAACGTTTCTGCATTTTTATTTTGCAGACGGCCCCTAAGGTYCCAGTTGTAATAAATAAATTCTTTACGTTGGAAATTTTTTTAGGGCCAAAACTAAAACTTTATTGGGCGTCTGCAAAAAAAGTTTATTTCCGAAATAATGGACACCCTAATACGTACATATTTACATGTAACATACATACAAAAGTACATAGAATTACTTGTAAATAAGAGAGCATAAGAATTTTTATGCTGCGCCATCATGCCTCCAACTATAATAAGCAATAACTATGGGCATGGAAAAAATAAACACTTACATACATACACAAATATGTACATATATATGTATGTTAATATTATTTATACATATATTAKATATTATTGTACGCCAACGCGTGCGCAAAGTAGTGAGGAAATTGCCAAGTTTCTATGAAAGCTGTTGGGCGCTTATGACATTACGTCATTTTATTGGCAGCAGCATGCAAAAGCCCACACTGCGCATCCCCAAACCCCCAACAGAACCACAAACATACATCGATACAAATACACATACATTCTTGAAAGTATTAAAATATGTCGCCATATAAATGCTGCAAACAGCCCAGTGCCAGAGAGAGGGGAGACGTACTATACATACCTACATAAAGTTTATAAACTTATATGTACGTATGTAAGTATGTACCTAAATTTATCACGCCCTCATAACGTGTCCCGCCCCAACTTCGTAATGCGATGAGGAATTCAAACATTTTATTTGCGCTTTAAATTCCCTTTGGTTGTTTTTGTTGCTCCTATGACGAAATATCAGAAGTAAATCAGCTGCTGGCGACACACACACATACTGTTCATATATACATATTATGTACATATGTTTATGCAATATGAATGTACACAAAGCCAAAAATGTCGAAAAACTTGCGATCATCAGTGGTGAATGGCGTTTTTGTTTTTGTTTTCGTTTATTTGTTTCTTTTTTTTTGGCAACGACGCCAAAAGCCAAAGAAAGCTCAATTGCAAGTTTTAAGGTGAAATTTCTATGCGCACACACATGAGCATACAGATGTAGGTATGTGTGTGTATGATTTATGTTGTTTGTATTTAGGTCGCACTTACCCGTTAGTTGTTGTTGTGTATGAAAAACGCCATGTTGTATTGAAATTTGTTCATAAATAATAAATTTAACTGTAACGAGAAGAATTAATATGAAATTAATTAATTTTGATTAGCGCAAAGTGGAAAGGAATTGTTTGAGAAATCAAATTAATTGAAAATTTTAAGACACAAGAGTTATGTAATAGCTTAGATACAAAATATAGTATGTATGTATGTATGTATGTAATGACACAGTGCAATGACTTTGTAAATATTTTTAAACCATTTTCTAGATAATCTTCAAAATTACTACACATGATTTCATGCCATATAAATATTTATAATAATAGAAAAATAGC